ATATATATATATACAAAACAAAATACCCAATATATAGTATTGTCTTTATATATATATAAGTAACTAAAATTTTATGTTCTGAAAGAAGCAGAAACAGGCATAAACTTATACAATCCCACGTCTTCTTTCTGTCTGATGAATGGCAGCAATATACTTCCTACTTTTGTACACGCACTTCTTTTATCCTGTCGATTTATGTAACTAATAATACATAAGCTCTATGTGTGTTAAACTGTAGGCTTGCTGTGTGTATCAAATCAGTTTCACTCATAATGAAAATTTGTTGAAAATGTTTTTTAGCTTCAAGTATGAAAATCGGACAGTGGGTGGTCCTCATACAGAAAACAGGCAACCGGGTTTTAGAAAGCAAAAATCAGCCAAAAACAAGAGGGAGATGCTAATTTCTGAAGACATTAAAACTGAAATAATTCTTGAACCGAAACCTTCTTCAGCATATCTGTGGTCACCGTATGGCTTTGATAACCAAAGATATGAATTTAGTGGTTCCTAGTAATAGCCTGTTTAATAAGTTGAGACAGTTTCCTGGAGATTAGGCAGGCGATCAGAGTAACAAATGCTCTCTGATCTCTATGTCTCTGATAAGTGGGAAAATAATAAAGCCCCCTGGAAATGCCACAAGGTTGCCGTGGAAAGATGATTCCCTTCACAGGCCGGTGTCCTGTATGGCAGTTTTTTGCTAGCCAAAATTAAATTGGATTTTAATATTACAGTGAGTTATTGCTAACAAAAATCAATCAAACAAACAAAAATTAAATTATAATATAGAGATGGGAAAAATGCCAGAACTCAAGGCTTCGTCAAAGGGGAACGGTGCCACCACTGTGACAACACCCTTTGGTTAGTCTCATTGTGAAACCTCACAAAGGTTGTTTGCGGTTGATAATGCACACTTACAGTCTACTGACGTGTCAGTTGCATAGTGAAGCACACCCTGCTTAATTCTGCTTTTTGCCTCAATCCTGTTATATTTAGTAAGAATTGAAATGAGCAACTGAGACTGTAGACTCATAGTTCACAGGAGCAGGTTTCCAATATGGTTGGACTCAACCAGCAGTTCTCACTGACGTCACCCCCTGCTGGCCATTACAAAAAGTGAAAATTAGTCTATAGCTGGGAGTTAGAAAACTATATGGGACTGTATGTCTGTGAAGGTTCTCAGTCATCCAGGTCATTGTAGTCTAAGGAGCTTGGAAAGAAAAGCACCTCTTTAAGTTGCTTGAAGATGTTTCACCTCTCATCCAAGAAGCTTCTTCAGTTCTAGGGTCAAATGGTTGAGAGTTCCAGATTTAAGTCCTATGAGAGTGACCCCCAAGAGGGACATGGACCTCAGGAAATCCCATGATAGGTTGGGGCTAGGTTTCACAGTGAGTTCACTCGAAACCTTGGCTGATTGTGACCTACACCCGTTTTCACACCTTGGCTCGTGTGATTAGATAGAGAATCAATAGGGGGTCCGTGTCCCTTTTGGGGGACACTCCCTTAGGGCTTAAATCTGGGACTCAACATCATTTGACCTTAGAACTGAAGAAGCTTCTCAGATAAGATGTGAAATGTCTTCAAGTAACTTAAAGAAGTCCAGATGCTTTTCTTTCCAAGCACCTTAGACTATATGGACTGTAATTTCCAAAGAATATCTACACGCCGCATTCGCACCATCAAGCCCGGGTTTAGTACTAACTCCGAACCATGTGTATTCTGAAGAAGCCAACAACTAAATCGAAATAAAAACAGTTGCTCAAAGTGTACACAAACTGACCAGTGACGCCAGCACCCCAGTGTTTGCTTGGGTCCACATGTTTAAATTTGGTCACTCAGTCAGCCTGACAGTCCTTACTGTTTGATCAGGCTTGCCTAGTGTGGTTGGGTGTGAAAGATTTACGCGTAGTGCAACACGCTTATTTGACATTCAAAAGATTTTGATAAACAAATGTTGTGACGCTCACTTCTGTAGCAGGACGGTTTCCTCTGAGCGGGGTACACGGGGATAAATTTCAGTAAGTCTACAATAGATTTCCGCATATTTCTCGCGTTTCCTCTGATTAGTCTGAATAACTCGCTGCTGTGCCGTGACTTAAAAGGATAGGCTTCTAATAAAAACGCTGCAGAGAAGTGTATGATAATTTACTTTTCAAGCGACAGAAAAGTAGGGTAGGAAAAAAAAAACTACATTTGCTCCTCCTGATTAAATAATGGGGATGCTTTTGCTTTTCTTGCTCCTCTGCTCAAGTGCCTATGGATCCAGTGAGCCAGACAGAAGCTTTGATATGCCTTTTGTGCACATATCTTCTGCCCATACAGCGGTTCCGTCCAGAGCTTTTTCTTCTGCCAGATAATCACTTGATAATCACTCAGTACTGCAACATCTCTTATGTGCAGTTGTGCTGACAGAGTAAATGCACTGTGCAAGCCTATTCAGGGTCCATATGGGTCCGCTTTATGACACCGATCCAAGTAGAAAATGATGATTCTCATGAAAGTTAAAGCTCTGACAGCTGAGGCAACAAAAAGGGTTTTTACACTTAGCTACTGAAGGGAAAAAATTACTTGTTTGAATAATGAAACAAAAGAGACAGTGCCATTAGCTTGGCCTGTTCTTTTAATAGCACCGTCTGCCACCCTCCCTCTTCATCAGTTAAATGCTATGACTAAAAGGTAATTCATTTCATTATTTCCAGGATACAGTGAGTGGGTAACTGTGCTATGTCTTTGTCTCCAGGGGGAAGGATTTTGGCCACGATGTAGACTTTATCGTGACCACACCACAACTGGGGAAGGAGGAGCGTCTTCTCACCAGCGTTATTGATAGACTAAAACAGCAAGTAAGTATGTTGTTTAGGTCTTTCTTAAAGCATAGTATTAGTATCCTGAATGAACACACTATAGGCTAAAGTAAATACAAAGATCCAATATTCTTGAGAGGAACAATAGACTAAACACAGCAATGCTAATATTTTTTTTGAAACCTGTGTTTGTGGAGTGCCTGTGTGTTAAATTTTTAATAAGCGGGAGTTCAGAGCAACGTTTGAACACTGCTTTGCATTTGATGTTAAATCACTGAGACTGGTTTAGGTGTCCATCTGTGTTTCTATATCCTGCATTCATAAACAATCCCTTTTTAATTAAACCCACCTTACATCCTGGGCCATGGTGGCACAGCAAGCTCGCACCACTGCACTGTGATGAGGCACATGCAAATACAGAAAACATCTTTATTGACTGCACAACGCAAGGTTGGCTTTGAGGGGGGAAAATGAGCAAATGCAAAAATTCCCAAGGAAATACATGAAGGTGCGAGCGGTAGTTCAGACTACAAGGCAAGTGTTTCCAGAGCAGCACCAAAGCAGTGATAGGCACAGCTGAGACAAGTGCTTGTTGTTCCTGCATGCTGAGTAATAGAGATATTGAAGCCAGCTATCTGTCGGCGGTGTGGGAAATGTGAGAATGTGGAAGGCTTTTGTTTGTTTTAACATTCTGGTGGCGTGATTCATACGTCATTGCAGACATCTGTAATTATGCTTATATTAAGTCTTAACCTAGATTACTGAGACTATTCATAGCTCAGTTCAGGTTCTGCAGTCATGTGATTTCTAACCACATGTTATCTTGTCTGCCATGATGGAAGCGTGATGCTGTAAGGTCAAAAGAATAAGGAGCTACCCAGGCCTACAGGCTGGTCTGCAACCATCTGGCAACCACTGGTCTTGAGGGAAAAACATTTATCCCCCGTTGGTAAATTGTTGTTGGAGTTTGATGGCAGTTGCTGTGAAATCAGTTGCTAAAGCCTGAGTCATGCAGGCCTAGAGACCAATCAGTGACCTCCTGGCAACCATTAGCTGGTTAGGAAAAATGTGTATTTCCCAAGCAGTTGTCGAAAACTTCCTTGCAATTGCTATGGTTGCTAGGAGAGCTCAAACACTTGGAAACTACTCCTTCAAAGTAAAAGGTTTAGTTTTACTTTGAAGGTGAATGTTGTCTGTTTTCTGTTGCTGTATCACTTCCATTACGCTGGACAACTCTTAAGCAATGCACATATGACATCACGTGAAAAGTCTCTTAAGACAAAGTCATCAGTAATAACCTGCGTTGGTATCCAAGTTACTGCATCTGAATCCCTGCTCAGGACTGACTGCTGTCATATGTTGATGCACATTTGACATCATTTTTCAGTGCGCACGGTAAAAGAACAGTACATCAGCCACCTGTTTTCCCAGCCCTAACCGATTTGTTTCAGTGATGAAATGGAACCATGTAGTTACCAAGATGTCTAGCCAAATAGCAACAAAACTAAACATCAAAGGATATCTTGCAAATCTAAAATCAGTGGATTTTATGAAACAGCAGCATCTGATGCTTTTGCAGTGAGGATGGATTGTGTCCTCCATGTTGCAATTTTTAAAACATATCTGCAAGTTTTTAAAGTTTTTAATAGTCAGGTAGTAGATGAATTATCAAAATCTGGTTTAATAAACCATATGTTTGTGGTTGATAAACCCAATGACATCACATATTGTGGGTTCTGTTTCATGCTTACATTTGTGTATCTCATCAGACTGTTTTAACTGGCAGGCCATAGCAGGCAAAGTGCTGAAAAACTCAACATGTTCGCTCATTCTCTAACACCACGTGAACATCCATCCATCCTTCTGAACATATTCAGGAATTTTTGTGCTGCTTTGGAAATAGATTTGAATTGTAATCTCTGCGTTTTGCAGCCGGTTGTATTATTTGTGTTTTGCCTATAGCATGGTTTCTCCTAATCGGTATGATGAACCCCTCAAGGCTATAACAGTGCTGAAAAAGAAGCACATAAAAACCCCCCAAAGAGCCATGCTTAGGGTGCACACAAACATCAGTGCACCAAATAATGCAACCATGTTCAACATAACCACAGTTGTAACCATGGAGAATAACAGTTAGAGTAACAAACAAGCTTCTCATAAGATCATATTAAGCCCACTGTTATACTGCAGCTCAATACATTGCTAAATTAAAAAAGGATGCACCACAAAATCTAGGTTGAGAATAAAATATGTTTCTTACGCACCAATTTGCACATTCCTAAAATTCTGGCAACAAACCAAATTTTTGTTTATTACACTGTCCCTTAATCTTTTCAAATTTATTTATTTATTTTGTGACATAAAACATTTCAGTCTTCAGTTAAATGATGAGTAGCAGAGGGTTTGACTTTTGACCTAGGGGTGGAGCAATCTTTTTAGGTGCCAAAACTACATGTGACAGAGTGCCATCTACTGCTGAGAAGAATATCATTTTTATGCATGTTTGAATTGAAACAGAAATATATTTAAAAATTGTGCATGTTCAAAAACATCTGAAGAAGTATTTTATGTTGTTTATAGACAGATTCTGATTTAATGTATTTACTACTTAGTTTGTTGTCTGGGATGTGTAAGCAAATCATGCACTGGAAAAGTATGCAGAAAATTGCAGGAAGTGAGGGCGAGGACATTTTATGGGAGGAAAGAATATGATTGAACAGTTAAGGTCATAAGGTCACTGCCTTGGTGAGGACAGCGAGTATGAAAGGATCCCAGAATCAGGCCTGAGGAACACTTTTTTTAAGATAACTTTAACTGAGATTATGGGTCAGTTAAAGGCTATACATATGTGATGTGTGTGGGGAAGCAATAGTATTCATGTTCATGTGTGTGTGGGAATCGGTAGTTTGGAGCAGACTTTATGAAGGTACCAGGATGCAATACTACTCCAAATGACAGATATGTGACATCCACCTCTGATTCATAAAGTTCCATACAGACTAGTTAGATACATTCAGACACATAGAAACACATACAATCACACATACAAACCTATATGTAATGCATGGTATGGCAGATAACACAGACACACAAACAGCAACACACACACAGCTATTTGTGATTTATTACTTGGGAGTGGTTGTGGCTCACCTCCTTGACCAAAACCACATCCAACTAATTCATAAAATTCATACAAATCAGCTGCTGATTAAGTATCCTTGTAGCAAGATACTGAACCCAAGTTGCTCCCAGCGTGTTCAGGAGAGTCTGGACGTTAGATAGAAAGTACGTAGATGTAGAAAAGGTGCTTGTATGAATATGTATGATTTAATGGAATATCTTCAAATATGGGTAAAAAAGGGCTAATTCTTAGCACCCATTTGAACATTTTCCCCTGACTTTATTCCTATGCTTGTGTGACCTACATCAATTCTGTTTGATTGGGATCTGATGGTTGTGGAGGAGTCCAGTGAACTCATTTCCATTTTTAATAAACTAGTTTGAGAGGAAATGAGCTTTCTGACCAGGGACCATTGTACCTTCATTCACTACTGCTCGTAGATGACAGTAGTGGTCCTGGTTCCTTCTGCTGCTTTAACCCAACTGCTACAAGGTTTGATTTGTTGTGCATGCAGAGATGCTCTTCTGCATAAGTGGGTATAATGAGTTACTGCTAGTTACTTGAGTTACTGTTTCCTAACTATCACCTTAGGTGTCTGGCCATTCCTCTCTGACCTCTGGCATCAACAAAGGATTTTCACCCAGAGAAATCCTGCTTGTTGGATAGGTTCCCTATTTCAGACCATTCTCTGTAAATCCTAGAGATGAAAAATCAAGGTAGATCAGCAGTTTGTGAAATAAATAGAACATCCCATCTAACCCTATCTCTATTGTGGGCAGTGTGAACTGTTCCCTAGATCTTTCACTCATAGGGGTTTTTGAATCACTCTTTGTCTGGTCCCTCACCCAGGACCAATTTGCCAAGTGAGACCGTACTAGTGGGCAAAAGCCTCCCGACAACATAGCTCCTGTGGACCCCTCCACCACCATAAGTCAAGTCACAGAGGGGACATGCATATTCTGGCACATAATATATATATATAACTGTTGCACTATATGTTGAAAAACCTCCTGAAACCAAAAGCCAGTCTTTCACTCGCGGTCGCTGTAAGATACTGAAGTTTTCAGCATGATTCAAAACTAAATCACTTAAAGGAGTTGGTCAATTTTTCATGATTCAGAGCTGTGTCCTTGGAAACACAGCTCCCTTTTTTTGTGAAAATTAGAGAGAAAGAAGTTATTTAGTTGCCTGCAATGAAAAGAGATTTGGAAGATGTGAGTGATTCTAGGAACAAAAAAGTACAATTTAGCAGTTACATTAAGAACTTATTTTAGGGCTTTCAAGGACCATGGTCAGCACTGGATGCCCCATGGTGGAAAATGGAGCCTTTAATGGAAAATGGGCAAAAAAAAATGAGAAGTGGCTGAGAGGGGAGAAGAAAAAGAGAGACAGAGAAACAGACAGTGACTGTGAGCAGAGTGAGGAAATATACGAACAAGAGATAAAACAGAGAGACACAATGTTAATGTCGGATTATGTTTACATAAACACAGTGATTTAATTACTGACTGTACTCAAATGACAACAATTATTTGCTGCTAATATCATGGTAATGTGACAAATATCAGTGGGTTCCAGAAGTGCTCTACTTCAACTTGTTGCATAAAAGACATTTGCAATTACATGAAACTGGGGTGTTAAGCACAACAATTGAAACAAATATCCAGGGTGTTTAAATTATAGATAGACGTATGCAGTATTACACCTACCTCCTCTAGTTTTGAAGTTTTTATTCTGTGCATGGGAGGAGGAAATCAATGAAGTAGGCCAGGTTTATTCACCGTCTACTAGTTCATTCAGTTATGGAACTGCTCAACAGATTGGATACATAGTTAGATAACTCTGAGAAACAGGAATAAAATTCAAATGTGATGGAAAACTTTTTTTTTTTCATCCATGAATAATGTCCTTGTGATTC